TACATAGTGAGTTCCAGGACAGCTGGGGCTACAAGGAGACCCTGTCTCAAAAAGACAAAAAAAAAAAAAATTTATTATTTTTATTTTATGTGTATGAGTGTTACGCCTGCATGTAGGTAAGTGCACCCATGTTGTGTGCCTGAGGAGGACAGAACAGGCTGTTGGATCCCCTGGGACTGGAGTTATGAACAGTTGTTAGTTGCCATGTGGATGCTGGGATTCGAACCTGGGTCTTCTGCAAGAACAGGCAAGTGTTCTTAACAACTGAGCCGTCTCTCCAGCCCCTGATGACAGCTTCTGAGAATTGCTTCTCCCTTCCATAGTGTCAGTGGGTCCTGGTGATCAAACTCAGGTTGTTAGGCTTACTGTCAGGAGCCTTTACCCACTGAACCATCTCCTTGGCCCACGTCCTAGATTTTCAATGCTCAGAAGCACCATGGAGATCAACCTAGTCCAAGTCCCTCATTTTACATATTGGGAAACAAAAATTAAAATAAGTCAAGTGACTTATCCAGAGTTATACAGCAATGATAATTTATTATCTTAGCAAGAGTCAAATGAGCAAAGAATATTCAGACTCAGTCCAGCTGGTCAGAAGTATATATTCTTTGTCTCTGACTTACATCTCCAAATAGATTTGTTCTCTGTGATTGCTTCTTTCTCAGGTTGTGTAAGTTAAGAACACTGGTTTTGGAGTTAGATGGAGTTGCATTCTAGCTCAGGGACATTAGAGTCTGACATTTACCAGGTTACATAATCTTGCAACGTTCAGTGTTCTCAGCTATAAACTGGGAGTAGTACTATCTACCTCTTGGTTTAGCACCAAGATTGACAGAAACATTCAATTTGTTTTGATTTTGCTAAAACCATTGTTAGAATAAGCTTTAATGAGAACAAAAAGGATTGTTGTATCAATAAATAAAATTTAAGGGACTGGAGAGATGGCTCAGCAGTTATCTTCCAGAGGACCCAGGTTCGGTTCCCAGCACCTACATGGTGGCTAACACACATCTTTAACATTTACAGTTCCAGACTATCCTGCACCTTTTTCTGGCCTCCTCTGGCAACAGGCATGTATGTAGTTCACATACGTGCAGGCAAAACACTTATACACATAAAATACATTTTTTAAAAATAAATCAAATTTAAGATGTTATTTTAGAGAGTTGAGCATATAGCATGGTGGTTGAGCACCTACCTAGCATGCCCTGTGGGTCGATTCCAAGCCTTATAAAAAGGAAAAGATGAAGGTTCTTTCTCTCTCATCCTTTCTTGTGTATGAGATTAGGTCTTTCTGTTTCCCGGCTGTCCTGAATTCCTGGGTTCAGGCAATCCTCCTGCCTTCTCTCAAGTAGGGTGACAATAGGTACCTCCCACTGATGCTGCGTTCTACCTCTTTCTTTTAATTTAAGAAAGGCACCTATTTTTAGTGTGTGCAAATCATATTATTACAGGTATATTTATGCAGATAAATACAATATTTGGGGATGCAGGCTTAAAATATTTTACCAGGATTGCATGGGCCAAAAACAACAACAAAAAACCTAGCCCTGGGGCTAGAGAGATGGCTTAATGAGTAAGAGCACTGGCTGTTCTTGCAGAGGATCTGGGTTTGGTTTCCAGCACCCACATGGTGGCAAACAACCGTCTATAACTCCAGTTGCACGACACAGGTACTCTTACATACATGTGCACAATATACTCACATACACAAAATAAAAATAATAAAATATTTTTTAAAAATCCAACCCCAAATAACAATAGACTATTGAGCAAAATATCCCACTTTATATGAAAGGTCGGCTTATACATGCTACAGTGATTTGGGTTCCTTTTGCCATTCCTAAAGTCCTGTAGATTTCTTGACTGTTTTCCAAACAATCTGTAAAGCCACACAGTCTCACAAGCCAGAATGTACTAAAAATAGTGTTGCATTAATTACTTTCTGTTGCTGTGATAAAATACCAGAAAGAATTTATGTGTGTGTATAATTTCCAGAGGGGGCGTCCATATGGTCCTGGCAGCAGGCAGCCAGAACAGGAAGCCAAGTGATCACATCTTCAACCACAAACATGAAGCAGAGTGAACTGGACGTGGGGCAAGACTACAGATTCTCAAAGCCCACCCCCAGTGACACACTTCCTCCAGCAAGACCGAACCCCCTAAAGAAAGGTTCCATAACCTAACCAAACAGTGGCGCCAACTGAGGACCAAAGTGTATATTTGGTATACCTGAGCCTAGAGGGGGTGTCGCTCATTCAGACCACTACAAGTGGTCAGAAGAGCTGATTTACCTGTCCTAAAACTCCTGTCACAGCTTAGTAAGCCTTTGGATCCCTGCAGGAGACAACTGGCTCATTTTCCTTGTCTGGAAGAGTATTTTAAAACAAGCACCTTGTTTTAATGGTGCTTTTATAAGCCCTGTAGCGGTTCCTTGGGGAGCTGGATATTCTCTTGTGCCTGTGGTTTCCAGGTTTTAAATTCTTAAGGGACCTCTTTAGTCTTCCAGATCACTTTAGGAGACTCTTTAGTACCTTGACCCTAGAGAGGGTGAGTCATTTAGGACATGAGGAAATTATTTTTTCCTATATGTCTCATTAATCACCAATAACTGATGAAATAATTGAGTAATTGAAAGAACAGAATCTTTGGTAGAAATGTGTAGGGTATGGGACATACCACCAAGTAGGGACTCAGAATTAATTACCTGTCGTTAAATGCATCTTGGAGCAATTTTTATGTTCACCAGTTCCATTTTTTCTCCCAGCATTGAAGATTGAATCTAGGGCCTCACACATGCTAAGCAAGTATTCTTACAGTGACCTACATCCATCCACAGCTCTTTTTTGAGACAGAGTCTTGCTAAGTTGCCCAAGGAGGCCTTGAACAGGTCTGTGTCACCAGATCTGCCTTGGTTATACGTTTCTGTTGGCACTTTATTTACTATTATATAAAGTAATTTAAAACGTAATGGCCACTAACATCTCATAAACACATGATACAGAAAAGCACATTAATAATTTGGGGAATTAAAGTTTACCTGGAAATTTGAGTACCACTCCATCTTAATAAGATAAAGGATTATAACTGATTGATCATCCTAGAGTTGTAATTTGTACTATTTAGATTTTTGTTTGTTTGAGACAGGGTTTCTCTATAGCCCCAGCTGACTGGAACTCCAGCCCCATAAATAAAATTACAAAAACATAAGTTAACAGTAGGACTAGTGTAGGGGTGCATGACTTTAATCCTAGCAGTCAGGAGGCAGAAGCAAGTGGATATCTGAGTTTTGAGTTCAAGGCCACAGAGTCTTTTTATATAGCTCTAGCTACCTGGAACTCTGTATGTAGACCAGGCTAGCCTTAAACTCACAGAGATCCACCTGCCTCTGCTTCCTGACTTCTGGGATCAAAGGCCTGCGCCATCTACCCAGCCATCCATTAGTAACTTTCAATACTAAGTCATAATATGTGTTTGGTACATGTATAGTGTTGTGTAGTCATCACTACTGTCTAACCTGCTTTCCTTCCTCCCTTTCCTACCTTCCCTCTCTTGCCTCCTTTTCCCTAGTGAGTGTGTGTTTTTGAATGCAGGTATGCACATGTCACAGAGGATAGCCTCTGTATGCACGCCTGTAGTCCCAGCACTTGGGAGGCAGAGGCAGATGGATCTCTGTGAATTCAAGACCAGCCTGGTCTACGTAGTGAGTTCCAAGCCAGCTGGGGCTACAGGGAGACCCTGTTTCAAAAAGACCAAAAAAAAAAGGCATAGTATCTGTGTATGACCTGTTATATCAATCTTCTTGTGTAGTTATATCATCTCTAGGTAATTTACAGTGCATAACACAATGTAAACACTCTGCAGATAGTAGTTGCATGAACTCTTCATGGTATGGTCCTTGGGAGAGGCAGAAGGATCAGGAGTTCAAGGATTTATGGGGCTGCATGAAGAGTTCAAGGTCAGCTCATCTTTAAGATCATCAGAAAATAGTTAAACTCTATTGCTTGCAAAATAGTAACATTTGTGCACGCTCAGTACAATTTTATTGTTGAGACAGGGTCTTACTATGTAGCCCTGCCTGACCTAGAATTAATTTACTATGTAAATCAAGCAGACCTCAAACTCAGAGATCTGCCTGCCTCTACCTCACCAGTGCTGTGATTAAAGGCATGCACCACCACACCCAGTAACTCAGAATTATTTTTTTTCCTTTGACAAAATCACCTGTGGCATGACAGTACCTTACTAGGAATTATTGAATGAGCTGTTGTCAAGTGAGATTTTATTCTGATCCCTAGCCTTATAATTCATAGGTTTATGTAATCATGCTTATAATTCTTCCTGATTCTCTTTGTGGCTGTATAATTTTCTAGTCCTTATTAAATTACCAACTTCAAAGGAAAGTCGAAGAATCAGATAAAAGCTCTGAGTGCCTTCTAAGAAGTATTAAGAACATAGTTGCTTAGGGGGCAGTTCTCCAAACCTTGCTACATGTCAGACCTCTCTGGGGATTTGCATTCCTGAGAGCTATTCCCCTTATCCATAAGATAATTGACATTTTCATTAGGTTTCCTAGGTTATTAATAAATACCCAGACTGGCATGCAAGAGTGATTGCGGGAGATTGGCAGAAGTAGACGTCTTCTGTGGTAAGATGCAGCTTAGAGTTGAGGTGAGATGATCCGTATGCAGGGTGTAAGCAATGATTCCTAATAAAGAGGCAGCATGTGACTAATTGCCAAGAGAATTCTCCAGATGTTGAGGACTCTTGAAGTTGAATAGTGAGAATTACAGAGGTGTGCCAGGCCTTCCAGGATTAGAGAGATTTGAACAAGCAGAGAGGTGAGGGAAATAGCACAGTTGCCAAGGGACTAATCTGAGAGATGAAAAGACAAGATACAGTTCCCTTCATAGCATGTTTGATGTAGTAGTTACCCAGACATTTAACAAACGTAAGAATAGTAACATTCCACATGGAAAGAATTTGACAAAAGCCAACATCAGGAAAATGAGGGAAATGTTGGAAATGAATGCTCAGCTTTCAGTCAAAGGTTTATGAGAGAGCATTAAATAATTCTGGTTTCTAAACTCTGCGATTAAAAGGCTTGGAGCTTGCAGGAAAAATCTTATGAAGTAGGGAGCTTTCTTGACCTTTCAGATCATATTTGACAGCTACTGTTTTCTCAAGTCAACTATGAGGATGAAGCCAAAGGAGGAAAAGGAGAATTCTGGCAAAACAGGTTGAGGCCAAACTGTAGAGTTGTAAAGTGAACTGTTTGCTGATTTTTAATGACATGCACAAGCTCCCTAACCTCTCCAGGTACCAGTTTCCTCATCTGTAATAGTATTTAACATCTGAAACCAGGCTGCCTGGGCGTGAATCCAGCTCTTCTGCTGATGACCTCTTTGACTTTGATGAAGTCACATAACTTCTGTGCCTCAGATTCCTCCTCTGTATAGTGAGGGTGATATTGCCCCTTCTGTGTTGTGGGTTAGACTAACTGTGGAAATCTCTTAGGACAGTACCACATATAAGGTGAACAGTGTAGAAGTGTTGACGTGTCCCTTCCAGTTCTTGAGGCTTTGACTCATCACCAGGTTTCCACTCTGAACCTTGACCATGGGAATTACTTGAGGACTCTTGAACAACTGTAATTTAAATCTTAAGATGTACTTTTGGAGTCACTACCTCTCCAACTATGTCAGAATATGAATTAACATTGGATGATGCATTTTCCAGTGAACACACTGCAAAAGTGTCTGCTTCTGAACCTTGTTTAGAAAGATGGCCTTGGAAGCTTAAGAATATATACCCAAGCTGGGCGTGATGGCGCACACCTTTAATCCCAGCACTCAGGAGGCAGAGGCAGGCGGATCTCTGTGAGTTCAAGGCCAGCCTGGTCTACATAGTTCCAGGACAGTTGGGGCTACAGGGAGACCCCGTCTCAAAAAGACCAAAAAAAAAAAAAAAAAGGAATATAAACCCTGGGGCTGGAGAGATGGCTCAATGGTTAAGAACACTGGCTGTTCCTGCCAAGTACCTGGGTTCAGATCCCAGCATCCACATGGCAGCTACAACTGTCAGTAACTCCATTCCAGGGGATCAGACGCCCTTCTCTGGCTTCAACAGTCATTGCGTGCACACAGCGTACTTAAATACATGCAGGAAAAACTCATACACATAAAATAAAAAATAAATAGTAAATAAAAATGAAGAAAGCAGTACTACTTGACTTACTCTGCGTGGAGAGGCCAGAACAAGGGGCGTGGAGCTGTGCTGCAGGCTTCCTAGTGTGACCCCATTCCTCCTGCCTCCTTGACACTTTCACAAAAGGCTAGGCCTAAGTGCAAAGTACAGAAGCCAGTGCTTGTCAGTTCACTTTGCCTATAGCATACTGCCTATTTTTCTTTAAAAATTGTGAATTATGGGGGCTGAAGAGTGGCTCAGCAGCTAAGAGCACTTGCTGCTGTACAGAAGATCTGAATTCAGTTCCTAGCACCCATGTCAGGCAGCTCACAATCACTTTTTTTTTTTTTCCCCAGACAGTCTTAGGTAGCTCAGGCTGGCCTCAAACTTGCCATCGTCCTGTGTCCACCTCCAAGCACTGGAATCACAGCCATTCACCACTATGCCTGGCCCTGGGATGCATCCTCTTACCAATAACGTTCTGTATTATTGATGTCGGGGCATGAATGCCTAAAAGCTTTCTATTTGTAGGAAAGAAAAAACATTTTTATCAGGTACTAGAAATGGATTAAAGACTCTTGAGCTCAGACTGTTTCTTTTTATTCATTAGATTTGTCTGCCTCTGCTCATTCCAAGGTGGTGGTCTTCACAGCCAACTTTTTGGGTAGTTCCGAGTCCTATCTGGATGCAGTGCAGAATAATGTGGACATGTTCAGAGCCCTTGTCCCAGCTCTGGGACATTATAGTCAGCATGCTGTCTTGCTTGTCGCTTCTCAGCCAGGTAAAGATGATTTCAGATTTATTTGATGGTCCACATTATCAGTAGAAATGCCATACTGGGGCTGGAGAGATGGCTTAGCGGTTGAGAGCACTGACTGCTCTTGCAGAGGACCTGGGTTCGATTCCCAGCACCCACGTGGTGGCTATGAACCGTCCTTAACTCCCGTTCCAGGGGAATCCAAAGTCCTCCTCTGACCTCCGTGGCATTGCATGACACGGGTGCACTCACATATATACATACACATAAAATAATTAATAGAATATTTTTTTTTAAAAATGCCATGCTGATAAACTCCAAAGAACTTTAAAATATTAAGAGACATTCAATAAAATTGCTCTTACAGTGGACAGTAACAGTATATCTGTATTCTGTCAATCAGTTAATTCTTACAACTGTCATTAACTAGATTACAATTTACAGGATTTAGTTTAATGAAATGTGGTATTTTCCCATTGTTACCTATATATTTCCTTAGTGAGAAAATGGTTAAAACCCCAAGAGAAGGCTGGGCATGGTAGTGCACACCTTTAGTCCCAGCATTCGGGAGGCAGAGGCAGGCGGATCTCTGTGTGTTCAAGGCCAGCCTGGTCTACATAGTGAGTTCCAGGCCAGCTGGGGCTACAGGGAAACCCTGTCTCAAAAAAACCAAAAAAAAAAAAAAAAAAAAAAAAAAAACCAAGAGAAAAATGCAGTGACTTTTATGTGTAAGATATTTTGTTAAGTCTTGGGTATTATTTTAGGAAGCATATCACTATCCATTTTATTTTATTTATTTAATTTTGATTTTATGTGTATGAGTGCATTGTTTGCCTGTGTAATAGTGCACCCATGTCATGCAGTGTCCATGGAGATCAGAAGATGGCGTCAGATCCCCTGGAACTGGAGTTATAAGTGGTTGTTAGCCACCATGTGGGTGCCAGGATCAAACCCAGGTCCTCTGCAATAGCAGTCAGTGCTCTTAACCCCTGAGCCATCTCACTGGCCCCCATGACTGTACATTTTAGAGGGTTTTTTTACATTATTTATTGGTGTGTGTGTGCTTGCATGCACACATGTACCATGTATGTGTGGAGGTCAGAGGATAACTTGTAGGAGTTGGTTCTCTTCTTCCACCACATAGGTACTGGGCTTGAACTCAGCTTATCAGGCTTGGCAGCAAGCACCTTCACCTGGTAAACCATCTCACTTGCCCTCGCTGTACATTTTTAACATTTTATACTTTGTAAATTGTTTTGGGAAATTGTTGCACTTAAAAGAAATGTTTCTAAAAGAGTTAGGTGATTCGAAACTCATATTGGTGAACATGTTTGTAAACACGACCCATGTTTCAAGTAATGAGTCACGAATTTCATTTCTAATTGGTTGAGACCTTGGTCTCTTTTAATTCCTGATACCCTTTTTGGTACGAAGGGGAAACAGTAGTTGTGTTTTTCTTGGAAGTGCTACACTGCGTCACAGTAGTTATATGAATCAGCATTTTAATTTAAAAACAAGCTCAGTCTAAGATCAACATGAAAGAGAAATTTATCAGTGAAGTGAAATTATTGAGCTAGGGCTATGGCTCAGTGGTAGAGTGCTTTCCCAGCATGCTTGAGGCCCTGGTTCAAACCCCAGCATCAAAAAAAAAGGAAATTTGTTCTCATTGAAATGAAATTATTTTCCTGCTGTCTTTTTGTTGTTGTTGTTGTTTTAATTTTATGTGTATGCATGTACTACCTGTCTGTAGGTAAGTGCACTCATATCGTGCAATGCCTGCGGAGGACAGAAGAGGCTCTTGGATCCCCTGGAAGTGGAGTTATGGACAGTTGTTAGCTACCATGTGGGTGCTGGGATTCGAACCTGGGTCTTCTGCAAGAACAGCCAGTGTTCCTAACCGCTGAACTGCCTCCCCAGCCCCTTCCCTGCTTTCTTTACTGTTTCCATCTTTCTTTTTTAAATACATGTTTAGAGATTATTTTAATTTTCGAAGTGTTTGCCTACATCTATGTATGTGCAACTTGTGTCTGCCTGGTGCCTGTGGAACCCAGAAGAGGATATCAGATCCCCTGGAACTAGAGTTACAGACGATTGTTAGCCACTATGTGGATTCTGGGAACCAAACCTAGGTCCTCTGGAAGAGCAGCAAGTACTTTAAATCCCTGAACTGTCTCTCCAGTCCCCAGTTTTGACCTCTCTCAACTACTCTGAAAACTTTCCTATTTTCTACCCCTAACAATTTATATTTCATGACAAAGTTATATCATTTTTTTAGCCTGGTTAGTGTTTTCAGTATATATTAAAAACATATCACTGGTCATGTTGGTACATTTGTGTCATCCCAATACTTGGGAGGCAGAGGGAGCAGGATTGGGGGTTTGAAGGCTAGCCTGAACTGTATAACAAGACCCACTCAGTATATATTGTGCCTCAGTGCATTTAGGACCTAAGAAGAGTAGACAGAAGCTGTGGTGTGCTGAACTTACTAGAACAGTGCTTTATTTGTGAGCTAGGCTAGAAGCGTGCTTTTTTTTAATCTATGTATTTTCATCTGGTATACAACATCTAGTGGAAATCATGGCCTATGTGACGTGGAAGCTGAGCACATTTCCTGCAAATGGAGTGATTGGAATTGGATGCAACCTGGATTCACAGAGATTGCAGTACATTATCAGGGATGTTTTGAAGGCACAGACTTCTAGAGAAGTGTGGGTCGTTGGTGAGCAGGGAGAAGACAGAGGTAAGAAGGACTTTTTTTTAAAGTTTTTTTTTTTTGCTATTTTTATTTTATGTTTATGAGTGTATTGCTTGCATGTATGTGAGTGCACCCGTGTTGTGCAGTGCCGTGGAGGTCAGAAGAGGGCTTCGGATTCCCCTGGAACTGGAGTTAAGGACGGTTCGTAGCCGCTATGTGGGTGCTGGGAATCGAACCCGGGTCCTCTACAAGAGCAGTCAGTGCTCTTAACCACTGAGCCATCTCTGCAGCCCCAGGAGGACGTTTTTATTAGCTGTGCTGCTGAATCACCAGTGGTTGCTGCGTTCCTGTCCATCTCAGGACTTTAGAATTATGCAGCTTAAGTGAGTGATTTCTGCCTAACAAGCAGGCTCTGTAAAGGCCCTTCGTGGGCCAGATCTCTTTCTTCCCCTTTTGCTCAGCGCCCCCCCCCCCCCGCCACCTCCCTCGTGCATGCATGCGTGTCTTGCTAGGGATCCAGCCAAAGGCTTCAAGTGTGTTAGGCAAGTGCTCTACAACTTAAGCCCCTGTCATACTCAAGCTTTGTTTGTCTTTCTGAGACAGGGTCTCCCTGTAGCCCCAGCTGCCTGGAACTCACTATGTCAACCAGGCTGGTCTTGAACTCACAGAGAATCATCTGCCTCTGCCTCCAGAGTACTGGGATTAAAGGTGTGTGCCACCACACCTGGCTTTTTTTTTTTGAGCTTACTGCAAGACCCCGTGGTCAGGTTTTATGTTTGAAATTGAATTTCAGAGTCCAGAATTAAAAGTTTTAATCTTTTGTTTAAACATTTAAACAAACCTAAAGCATTTAGAAATCCTCATTACTCTCACCACCATCCAACTTTGTTTACTTTTCCCAAGGCTGGTCCGTCTCCCTAAATGCAAGCCTACTACTGTCTGTTTCCCTTTATCAAAGAACCTCTCACCCTATGGCCTTTTCAAGAAGCTACTTGCTTTCCCTGTATTTAGTTACTTTTCTGTTACTGTGATAAAACACTATGACAAGGGAACTTATAAAAAGAAAGAGTTTGAGCTTATGGTACCTGGGGATTTAGAGCCATCATGGCAGGGAGGCACAGTGGCAGGAGGTGGCAGGAGCAGGAGGCAGAGAGCGACTGGCAATCCAGCGACGCTTAAGAACTCTCTAAACCCTTCCCTAGTGATGGGCCTTCTTCAGCATGGCCACAAAACATCGCCACCAACTGGGGACAAAAATGTCTGCAGCCTTGGAGCCTTGGAGCCTATGGGGACATTCTCATTCACAAGTAACTAAAATACTCCCTATCACAAAAAAGCATCAGTTGCAGCTCCTTGTAGGAAAAACAACATAAACCACTTTTGTTCCCCAAAGTGTGCTTCCTGGAACCGTGCCTTCCTTGTCTTGTGCTGTAAAGGCGGCAAGTGAGGCCCGTACTACTTGCTCTCATGTGCATTTGTGTTCATTTAAGCAGGAATGTGAATGCTTTGTCCTACGGTAACGAGGTGTAGCACAGTCTGTGCTTTATTGTACTGCAAATGATTATCCAATATTTTAGCTAGAAGTATAGGAAACGATTAAGTATTATTATAGGGCTTAGACATGTACAAGTGTGCATTTGGCATAGGTTGAAATCACTAAGGAAAGAACTCTGTCCTACAGTACCTCAAGTGATACGAAAGGCCGCTGCTGAACTAGACTTTGGAAGAACAGCTAGGATTTGAATAGGTAACAGTGGTGAAGGCATTCCAGGAATGGGAACTCAGAGCCAGGCAAAGGCACATAGTTAGGAATTCCATGTTTGTACTGTGAAAAAATATGGACTAGTAAGTGGAGTTGTGGATGGTTGTTAGCCACCATGTGGGTGCTGGAAATTGAATCCAGGCCCTCTGCAAGAGCAGCCAATGTGCTTAACTGTTGAGCCATATCTCTAGCCCCTTGTGCTTGCTTTTTTTTTTTTTTTTTTTTGGTTTTTTTTAGAAAGGGTCTCCCTTGAGCCCCAGCTGTCCTGGAATTCACTATGTAGGCCAGACTGGCCTTGAACTCACAGAGATCTGCCTGCCTCTGCCTCCCAAGTGCTGGGATTAAAGGTGTATCATAGTTTATTTAACTCATCCCCCTAATAAGTTATAGTTTTTCATGTATGATAAGTATTGAATAAATAAGAACATTGTAAAATATATTATAATAGGCAACCGTGATGTAGGCGCTGCCTGGTCTAGTGTAGTCCATACGCTGTTCCCAACAACAATAAAAACATGTACACATACATATATATGTAGTGTTAATTTCTTAAATCATAAAAGGATAAGATGGTGAAGCTTTAAATATGGCTTACCTACTGTGTCTAGGTGAAGGAAGAAAAACAATTTAACATTTTACTAAAAAAATTTACTATTTTTATTTTATGTGTATGAGTGTATTGCCTGCATGTGTGTAAGTGCACCCGTGCCGTACAATGCCTGCGGAGGTCAGAAGAGATCATTGGATCCCCTGCAACTGGAGTTATGGACAGTTGTTAGCCACCATGTAGATGCTGAGAATTGAACTCAGATCCTCTGCAAGAGCAGATGGTGCTCTTAACAACTGAGCCATTGCTCCAGCCCCCAAACATAACATTTTAAACCTACTGAAAAAGCAGTTCATGTTTGGTTTATCCCAGGTGTAGGAATTTATTTTCAAAAACTTATGTTGAGCACCTGCTCTGTCTAAGGCAGTGCTGATGTGGCTGCGCTGTGCAGACAGAGTAGTACCTGGCTGTCTCCTGGAAGTCTGGAGCCTGTCATAGGGGTGATCAGAAGGCAGGCAGTGTTGGTTTGCCATTGAGAGGCCACAGAAGCGTGGGGAAGGGAATGGCCCTTCTGTCCTGAGTTCTCAAAGGAGCAAAAGAAGTAAGGGATGTAGGTGAGTGCAGATTGGGCTCACGTCACCCAGCGCCATGTAACGTTTGAAGTAGATACCTGTGTGAGTCCTAACCACTGGCCCACCACAGAGTGTTGAGTGTGTGCAAATTGAGAAACAGTAATAAAACCAACATGAGTCCACACTCGGTGAAGAACATCACAAGCACCACCGAAGCTGCTCACCTTCTCCCCGGTCCACCTTGCTGCCTGCCTGCCATCTCTGTAGAGTGGCAGCAGATCACTGTGTGGTTTAGTCTTTATAGACCTTGGGATCCAAGCCAGGGCCTTGTACATGCTCAGCAAACTCTAACCACAGAGCTACCTGATCCTTACTTGTCCTGTCTTCCACTGTTGCTTCACAGACTAATACATATCCAAGTATACTTCTGGCTCTGAAGCCAGAAACTAATTAGAGCCTCCTTCTGCTGGAATCACATGTAGATATGAACTAGCAGTCAGTAATGATGCGATATAATTAATGATTGGTTTTTTTTTTTTTTTTTTTTGGCCTTTTTGAAACAGGGTCTCCCTCCCTGTAGCCCCAGCTGTCCTGGAACTCACTATATAGACCAGGCTGGCCTTGAACTCACAGAGATCCACCTGCCTCTGCCTCCCGAGTGCTGGGATTAAAGGCGTGTGCCACCGTGCCCGGCCCTATGATTCATTATTATTTTTATGGAGTACTTTTCATACAGGTCCTCTGTATTTCATTTAAATTTTAGGTAACTTGGAAGGGAGGATATTTTTTTACATCTATTGATGAGGAAACATAAGGCTCCATAAAGATGAGTTAACTACCCAAAGTTAAAGATCTAGTAATAGCAGAACTGAGATTTAAACCTTGGTCTGACTGTAAAGACTTGCTCTTTCTTGCTGTCACTTAATTTTTTTTCTTTTCTTTGTCTTTTTGAGACAGTCTCCCTGCAGCCCCAGCTGGCCTGAAACTCACTATGTAGACTAGGCTGGCCCCAATCTCACAGATACTCACCTGCCTCTGCCTCCTGAGTGCTGGGACTAAAGGTGTGTGCCACCACACCTGGCTCACTGTCACTTAATTTTATTTAAAGCATAGTACTGTGCCTGGCACAGAGTAAACACTCAGAAAATGGCAGTTATTACAGGTTTATAAGATGGTGATGAATAAAAATTGGCAAAAGGACATGTAAAGCAGTTATAAGATAGAATAGAGGCTGGGCGTGGTGGCACATGCCTTTAATCCCAGCACTTGGGAGGCAGAGGCAGGCGGATCTTTGTGAGTTCAAGGCCAGCCTGGTCTTTAAAAAAAAAAAAAAAAAAAAAAAAAAAATAGGAGTGGTATAAAGAAAATTATTCTTACTGCTGAGAGATTGATAGCCACCGCCTAGGGAGACTCACATAGCCTATAAGACCTTGAGGCTCTATTTCCTGCTTCCTTCCTCAGCTTCATCTGCCATGCCTCTGGGCACTCGGTGCTAGCCAGGTGGTCAGCGTGCAGTGCACTGAGTGGCTCATGCACTCTCTGTTGCCTTTGTGCCTGCTGCTGCTTTCTGTGAACACCCGTTCACTTGGCTAATTCCTGCTTCCCCTTCATGACTGTGCTTAAATGCCATGTCTCCCAGAAAGCACTCAAGGCTAGGTAAGTTCATGCTGTATTATAACCAGTATTGCACTGTCTTGTCATTGTGCCTCAGGTTACAGTTAGTTACCTGTCATTCCCTCCACCAGACTGTCATGTCTTGAGCTTAGAATGCTTCACTGGTGTCAGTGATCCTGACATCGTCTTGTGACCAAAGACCATCCAGGTATTCTACACCAAATCAGATGGTTAGCAGAACATTTTCTTTAGAGCATCTAGTTTTACCTGTGGTATTGAAATCCTATGTGCATTGCAATAGTGTTTTAGAAATCTAAGGACTAGACCTCCGAGCAGAGTGTCGGGTCATCTCCTCTGGCACAGGTTGGGTATTGTATGTAATGAAAAAGATCATATAGGAATATTTTTGGTGTTTTTTTTATTGTTTTTTAGATGAGGTCTCATGTGGTTCATTGAATTTGCTATGTAGATGAGGATGACCTTGAACTTTGGATCTTTCTGCGTTGAGTGCTGGGATTGCAGCCGGGTGCCACCACCTGGTTATAGTTAT